TTTTTCTTTTTGTCATCATCTTTCTTGAATGTTTGTGTCTTTCTGCTTTCCTTTTCTTTTAGTTTTTCCTAAATGATGGAATTAACAAAGAGATTCTTCCTCAGCATGAGTTTGAGAGTCTCAAATACATAGCTAAATGACGTAAGACAAAGAAGGACCTCTACTTTACAAATTTTGTAGAAAAATACAGAACAAACCTATTAAATTTAATAACATTGTGCAATAGCTAACAATAATCAGGCTAAAGATAGATTAAATACATGTTAGACAGAATTAAACATACAAAGTTTTAGTTTTGCATTTGGATTGAATGCTTTCAACATTTGCCAAAAGCATAATTATGCAACATGGAATTTCTCACAAAATTTTCTTTGGGTTCTCATGCATTACATATGTCTCATTAGAGTTAAAAGCATTGCTTGTTGCATGAACTGAAGGACATTTCCTGTGTAACTGCGACTATACTGTATTAAACAAATTCCTAATGGAAGTATTTCTTTCTAACGTAACAGCAATCATTCCATGCCATTAAAATGAATGTTGAACACNAGCTATCCTATCACAGAGCTTGACCAACCTGCACTTCAACCTGCATGAGTTTTTTCTTTTTGTCATCATCTTTCTTGAATGTTTGTGTCTTTCTGCTTTCCTTTTCTTTTAGTTTTTCCTGAATGATGGAATTAACAAAGAGATTCTTCCTCAGCATGAGTTTGAGAGTCTCGGATACATAGCTAAATGACGTAAGACATAGAAGGACCTCTACTTTACAAATTTTGTAGAAAAATACAGAACAAACCTGTTAAATTTAATAACATTGTGCAATAGCTAACAATAATCAGGCTAAAGATAGATTAAATACATGTTAGACAGAATTAAACATTTAAAGTTTTAGTTTTGCGTTTGGATTGAATGCTTTCAACATTTGCCAAAAGCATTATGCAACATGGAATTTCTCACAAAATTTTCTTTGTGTTCTCATACATTACATATGTCTTGTTAGAGTTCAAAGCATTGCTTGTTGCATAAACTGAAGGACACTTCCTGTGTAACTGCGACTATACTGTATTAAACAAATTCTTAATGGAAGTATTTCTTTCTAACGCAACAGCAATCATTCCATGCCATTAAAATGAATGTTGAACACTATTTGCAACAAAGCAAAAGCTACGCATCCACATCTTACTAATAAGTATCACTATCACCTGTTTCTGTAGGTCCTCAACATAAGCATCTTAAATTTCCCACTGTTCAGACAAAGACAATTACTTAAATTAAATTACAGTATGTGTGATGTCCTAGTAATCTAAATACACACAACACGGGAAGTATTGGTTGGAAAGATTATACATATAAGTGTAATAAGACTGCTGAATTTATAAAATTAAAACCCTAACTCAATAATAACTTGAAGATAATTTGATTTTAACCGTCAGACTTAGTTCCTAAGCCTGGTGATATTTTATTACTCAAAGAAAGTTAATGGGCTGACAAAATAATTTTACAGTATGACTGAACTAATATTAATAATAATTAGGTTAAAAAATTTCATTTTCCTAGACAGTCTGACATAGCTATATATTTTTATTTCTT